AGAGGCTGATGAAAGGCAAAAAATGCAAAGTTCTGCATGGTAAAACCGGAGAAGTGGGCTTGTTTTACGCTCCTCTGTATCATTATGTGTATAATATATTCTGCTTTAAAGTGTCCCATGCACCGTATCTTTTGCTTATAACTTGATAATAATTCTTTTTCTTCTGTTTTCCCAAAAAATGTCCCGTGAACCGGCAAATAAAGTTCATCAGAAGCGCGTGCATACGATTTTTCGGACTAATGAACTTTGGGACCAATGAACCTTTGCATTATTGAGACGCCCCCGAGGCTCATTCCTATACGTCCCCGTAATATTTTTTTTTCAAAAGTACACCACCCACTTGAGACAAAAAAAAAAAAAAAAAAACAATTTAATCGAGATTTCGTGGAAAAATAAGAAAACAAATACTGAAATGATATGCTTTGTAACTTTACACATACAAATTAATATAAAATTGTGTGCAGCTTACCTTTGTGATTTGTGACAAATGACTGTAGAGTGGCAGGTTTGGGGGGGGGGGTCAATGGGTCCTGAGCATCCCTTCGAATTCTTAAGAAAATCATACCAATGCTTCCTCTTAAAATTAGAATTTAAATGTGAATTAGGCCTATAGTTCTAAACTGTACCAAATGGCACCGTTCGTCCTCTAAAATAACAAAAAATTTCGCCGTCCCTGAACCCCATGCCAAAAGAGGGGGGGAGGGGGGGGATGGTTGGCTTCGCTTCCAGATTCCCCCCCCCCCCCCCCCCCCCCCCCACACACACACACACACACACAGTGACAATATTAACCAATGCATAATGTATAACATAAGGTGCCAATGCTCACCAAGGGTTACCCAAGGGCATTGGAGCTTAATATTGTTTTATTTTCGTAGTCATAAATGATAAAAAAAACACATATGACAACATTAATCATAACAAATAACTGTTTGTTATGAAAAATAAATAAAGATAAAAAAAATAAGCACTTTCCTACCAAGTAATTCCCATCGGGTGAAAACTTGCACAGCTGGTTGGACTGTTTGAATATCTCCGAAAAATTCATCTTGAGGGCAGTATCAAACTAATCTGGGCACCTGTAATCAGCCATTTTTGTCACAAAACTCAATGAACTAAAACAACCGGAAGTGCCCTTATTTCAAACGTCGCGCCAAGCATGCGCATGAAAGATCAAATAAGATTTTCCATAATTTCATTATCATGCANGGGGGGGGGGGGGGGGGATGGTTGGTTCTCCTTCCCAATTCCCCCCCCCCCCCCCCCCACTTCAAATAATCCTGGATTTGTATGCTGATGCTATGTCCTTCACTTTGATCTTCAACCAGGCCCGCAGCCAGCAATTTCAAACGGGGGGTTCTTTTTCGGAAAAAGTGGACCATTTACCATGAAACCTTCATGTGCCTAGATAAATGTTTACCCAGAGGAGACCTTTTCCCAGCAAAAGGGGGGGTCCCCTGGCTACGGGCCTGTCAACGGTGGTTACGTTTTACAGATTACACCCAATTTTTATTTATCTTATTCTTTTTTATTTATTTTGCTCAAAATTGGCTTTTACCAACGATAATTAACTCACCGCTCAATTTGTTGAATTATTGGTTAAAAAAAAACATTACAAAAGCGATAATGGTCGCCTTTGTCTTCGTGGAAATGTTGGATTTTATCATTTATGCTGTCTTTGGGCAATCCTAGAAACCACTGAATTAATTTAATGCGCTGCAGTTACTGTTTTTTTTTCTTTTTAATTTTATTTGTAATAAAGATCTAAGGCGAAAAAAAAATAAACACACGGCTTTATTTTTTGTAACTTCATAAATCCTTAAAACGGGTGGAACAGATAAATCCGATGGTACGTATTGCCTGCGAGATCGTTATAAAGAAACCAATTACGAACAGCACTAATCTTCTGTCTTGTACATGTACCCCTTGATTTAACTGTGCCACACCCAGCCCGGTTAAAGGGATAACAACTGTTCGAAAGATTACATGATAAACAACTCATAGAAATATAATAAATTCTGTTTTACCACCAAAAAGAAAGGATATCAAAATCATATCATTATAGACCTGTCGTTCAGAAAGATGAGCGATGTTCGATAACGGTATTAAAACTTCCATTTACATTCAATAGTGCTGGGCAGAGCATCTCCATATTAGAAGAGATTACGATGGATTTTGAGGCCCTAGAAAATCAAGTAATGTAGATCTACGCTAAATAAAAGTGGCAAAATAGGCTAAACAAAATTGATAAGTTGATTAACAAGCAGCGTCTGTAATATAGGGGCCTAATGTTACAAATTACAATATATAAAAAAATTAACTGGTCGGTAGACGAATTTCTTTTGTAAATCTCAGATATGGTTAATAAGCATGGCAAATAAATTCTATGGTCATTCGGACTCGGAATTTAAAAAAATGTTTATTTAAAGTTGTTCGTCAAATCCAAAATGAGGATGATTTAAAAGGGTTTCCTTGGGATCGATTGTAAAATTTTCCACATAACCCAACGCATTTTTCAATTTGAAATAAAAACAACCTGATCCATGGTGGGCTAGGCTATTATATCGATGGCTAACAATGTCAGTAAAATGAAACTTGCATCGAGGGAGTGAAGATGTGGGGGAGAAAATATGTGGGGAGGCAACGATGTGGGGAAAAATCTGTATGGGGAAGTAACGGTGCGCCTATAACGGTCACTTTACAAGGGATCTATCGATGTGGGTCGTTTTGATATACATAATGCAAAAAATCTACTGGAGGAAGGAGGGGGGTATCGGTGCTGGAGAGTATCGGTGAGGGAACGCACAGGCGCAGGGGAGTATCGAGATTTTTAAAAAAAAATGTCATTCACCATTTCAAAGTATGTACAAGTTAAAAATAAAACATAACCTTGCTCAAAAAATGCCACAATATCAGTTATTTTCTTCTCTAAATTTATACAGGTGAATGATATACTTAGCACCCATTATTTTTTATACATATCTGTTGATAAATATATGTTCCCTATTTTTTCTTCTCTAGTCATTTTTTTTACTGTTTATTGATTTCCATATTTTTGAAATTTTTTAACACACTCTACAAAGAATTAAAGAATATCATACTGTACAGAAGGACAGTGTTTGCATACATCATGTTCTGAAATCTCACATTTCTTTAAGCATTTTCCTGTTGAATAAATTCCATGCAAAAGTTTCCACTGATGACAAATTGAGTACATGCCAAAAATATGTCATTCCACACTACACTTGGTACTTTTTCAATAAGAAATATAATATATTTTCTGATTTATTCAAAACAAGGTTTAATCTCACTTCACTGGAAGTGGTATCTTTTAGTTGTATTCCAGAGAGTATCGAGATAACCCCGCCACGATACAGAAACTCTTAAAGACATAAATTAGTTTTTAGTAAAACTTTAAAACTGCCATAATTCATTTTAAGTTCTTTTATAAAATAGCAGGCAGTTGTTCCTCCCCAATTTTGGAGTATAAACAATGAAAGCACTGTTCAATCGAATTTGTTAAATTGTCTCTATTTCAGAGTAGATAAGTGTATAAAGAAAGTTTTTAGTTTCAAATGGTGGTGAGCTGAATGTCCCTATGTGATTCAGATAATTTTTGGAAAAAGTTTTCGAAAGTGCCCCATTAGCTGGTGTGATGCTCACGAGAATTTTTACATTTATTAGGGCCTACTTTGAAATCTCAAATTTTCAGTTCACGTATAGAATAAGAAATTAAAGCCGAAGATGAAATTGAAATGACGCAGCAACCTATTAAACCATTGGTAAAAAGGCACAATATATATCTATCGAACCAATATTTTAATGTGTACCAGAGCTGCTAATACAGGAGTTTTTGGGTAGATGTTATATTTCAGCGGAGTTCAATGCAACATGTAACTAGGAACGCACCAAAGGTTACTACTTGTTGTTGCCATGTATTAGCAGTCCTCACCATATTGTGCTCCCTCACACTCACCACGTCTATGCCAGGCACTTACCAACAATAAATGTACAGGGGCGGATCCAGGATTATTTGAAGGGGATTCCGCAAATGCGAAAACGAGCCTCACCCCACCCCTGGCGTGGATAATAATTTTGGTATTTGAGGGCAAACGGTGCCATTTAGAACTATGTTTCAACTAGTCAAAATTCTTATTTCAAAAGGGGAATATTAGTGTGATTTTTTTCAAAATCAAAGGGGGTCGGGACCCCTTCTGTCACCCCCCCCCTAAATCTGCCACTACATGTAAATGTGGTTCGCTTAACTAACCAGTGAGAAAAAACACTTGCACGAATTCTGATAAGTTTGTGAAATGGAATAAGGTATCATACAAATTACCTTTATTTGGACTATTGTATGCATATCACAGATACACAAGTACTGGGGGTACCTGCATTTACCAGAAGTCTTTCTTACAAGCTTGGACCTTATTTAATTATGTCCATGTTACAAGGCTAAATTTTGAGTGCTCATAGGTAATTTGAGAATATGTAATTCCTGAACAGATTAACAATCTAAAAAAAAAAAAAATACAACTTCTACTTTGTTTTCTCCTGAAGGTGTCTCTTCAAACTAGGATCCAAGATATGGCCATTTTGCTGATTGTGTCATGTCAGTTGTTTTGAGGGTGAAAGAGAGATTTTCTTTATCTGGTGTTGTGGAGGAGTTCTACAGAGTAGGGGGTGTTACCGATTTTCTAAAAATCACTCCATTTAGATTTTATCAGTTATAACTGAAGTTCTATCAATTTTCATATTTACATTTGTAAACAAGACTGCATACCTTACATCAGTTTAAAAGGTATCAATAATCTGTGACGCTGGATTGTTTATCATACTTTGCAGGGACTACACTAATTTTGGCAATTTAAATTACAGTGGTAAAAGAGTAATCATGTGAATCAATTGCTATCTATATCCAATTAGGATTCTTGAGGTGAGGTCAAAAGCCTCCAGCTGCTTAGACAGATAAAATAGCACCTTAGAACAATGACAGCCCTTCCTGTTATCAAAATGTTGCTTGGCATAGTCCTTTAGTACCCATGATATGACAGATCAATGCATAAATAACAAAAACAAATCAGGCTTATTTATATTTATTACAGGGTATTACTTAGCCTGAATTTTCTATATAACCTCAAGTGTTATCTTCCAAGTGCACCCTTTCATGTCTGTTTAAAGCATCTCTACGAGCAAATAACACTTCACAGTAATTACACTTGTATGGTTTCTCTCCAGTGTGAAGTCTTTCATGAATCACCATGGTTCTTTTTTCTATAAAAGATTTTTCACAGAACTGACAATGAAACACTTTATCTCCTCGGTGAATCCTTTCATGGTTTTTGCAGTGACTTTTTTCTATAAAAGCTTTCCCACAGAACACACATTTGTAGGGCTGCTCTCCAGTGTGAATCTTTTCATGTCTGTTGCAGGTTGGTAATTGGGCAAAAGTTTTCTCACAGAACTTGCACTTATATGGCTTCTCTCCAGTGTGAACTCGTTCATGCTGAACACAGGCGAATTTCTTTGTGAAGGCTTTGCAACAAAATTGACACTTGAAAGGTTTTTCGCTAACGTGAATCATTTCATGCATTTTAAGCTTTGAAGAATTAGGAAAACCCTTTCCACAGAAACATGTATATGGTCTCTCTCCCCTGTGAATTTTTTCATGTGTTACACAACGGTTTAAGCGAGAAAATTCTTTGCCACAATGCTGGCAAATAAACACCCTATTTGGTCTAGGTTTACAACTACTGTCTTTATCAATGTCTATGTTTTGTTTTTTATTTGTTCTTTTGCACTTCTTGCACTGGTACACTTCCTGCAAATCTCTAAACCAAGGAGAGGACTTACAAGTCTTTCCGCAAGTCTGGCAGCAAATGGAAGTTTTTTCCTTACAGTTGTTGGGTTTATTTTGGCCATCATTATTTTGGCTGCCAGTTTTCATGCTTCGTTTACGTGTGTCCCTTATAATTCTCTTCACATCTTTGGCAGTCTTGTCTTCATGTTGTTCACAATGAGGAAGTTGTGGCCTCGAGTTAATCACTTTCACATTATTGGTATTGTCTTGATCTGTGGTAGGCTGCCCTCTGGTGTCAGCTATGTCTTCACTGGTAGAATCTTCTTCACCTGAATTGTGCTGACACCTGGTGACAGAAGTGTTGTCATTGGTAGGATCTTCTTCATTTGATTTGTGCTGACATCTGGTGTCACTAGCGTCGCAATCTGTAGGATCATCTTGCCCTAATGCATTCTGCCCTTGAATGGATGCTCGCTCTTCATCGCTTCTGCCCTCAAGCTCAAAAATACGCACATACATGTATATGGTCTCACTAGTGTCTTGATTGGCAAGATGATCTGATGACTTCTGTCCTTTAGTGGTAGCAATGTCCTGATCAATGGAAATCCCACATGACATTTGCTGCCCTCTGGTGTCCAGCCTAGACAAAATACCCACTTGTTTAAGTTTTAACTATTTCAAATATTACAAAATAACTATGTACCAGCACATGTAAATTTATGTAATTAGAATCTATTTTCCAATGAACTGTGAGAAAACAAAGCTTTTTTACATTGTAACAATGTTATAGTTGATGTGGTTGTAGCAGCTGGAAAAGCAGAAAATGTTCACTTGTAAAAAAATGAATGTTATCACATTCTGATGACTGAATATAAAATTCTCCTCACTCCAATGTCTTGTCCTCCTCCTCGTCACCAGAGGGCAGCAGTGGATCCCCCTGGAGATCAGCACACAGCTGGGTGTGTAGATTATGTCTGTGAATGAGAAAAAAAGGACAATCTTGCATTTGATCAAAGAAACTAATATGATAAATAAATCACACACACGAGCCTTAATTTTTCATTGTCCAAATCCCTCAAGACAAATGGACATTGGATTTGACATAAAATAGTTCTACATGTACAAATGCTTCGTACTACTAGTATATCCTTAAGAGTCTTTTAGTTTAATCTATAAACATTTGAAAATTAAGCATTTATTCCTGACAATCTCATGAAATCACTTACGTGTCTAGGAGGTACTTAGCCAGACCCTCGTTAGTTACAAGATTCATTTGTTCTTTTAGAGTTTTCCACCTCTCTATCTGCTTGCCGATGTTGATACAGTTGCTGCCTCCACAGACATCCTGAGGACGCACTAGGATGGATTTTCCCCTCGATAGCATCTTTTTCTGAAATACTGAAGCATTGAACAATGAGTTGAGAGAGAGAGAGAGAGAGAGAGAGAGAGAGAGAGAGAGAGAGTGCATAATGCCTGAAATCAGTTACCTATAATGGCATTTAATGGTTATAACCATTACTAGTCTGGGACGTTACAAACACATTGTTTCTGCAGAATCACTTTCGTTCGAAGGATGACATACTTACAATGGAAAACAAGTGGCAAGCGATATTGCACAGATTCCCATTTCCTTCTCCGCTAACACAATCCTCGTTCTTTTTCTGTGAAGAACTCTGACGTGCCGTTTTACAGCCCTCCTCTTTTGACATGAAAATACTGATAAAATCTTCTTCCATGCCAAAATCTAAGAAACCTGTCTTGAGAAACGCCTCTCCGTTTGAGAGCAGCAAAAGGAGGTCGCACTCGCTACTGGCCGTTGACACTCTGATATACGTATGAGCGCAATAATTTGGGAGGCGTGTGATTCTTCAAAACAAGATAAAATCTGTGCAAACTATGGATATACTAATAACGCTTTTAATTTTTTTTTTTTTTGCTAAGAATCATCCTCGCACTTCTGTTTGCTTCATTGATGAATTTAATTATATACGCCACAATGGCACTAAAGAGATTATGGCACTAAAGAGATTTAGATCGACCTAACTCCATGGGGGTTCAAGCTAAATAGCTGTCAGCCGAGCGGACACGAAAGTTAATTACCCGCTTACAGCTTGTAGTAGGCGGGACGGACATTTAAGCCGGATTATCTGACATTAATCTAGTGAGACTCCCCGCGGGGATAGATCGATCTAAAAGCTCTGGGAATACAGCCTAATACCCTATTAAAACACTATTTGTTTTTTTATTTATTTTTCAGTCAGAAAAAAACTGGGAAAAAGTTTGGGACAATATTCCATATTTAATGTTAAGTCTGTATATACTGTATTTTGCATTTTTCGCAAAAGTTTTGCATTTCTTGGTAATTATCTCCCAGTGACCTTCAAATTCTTTTCATCCAGCTCATAGTTTAGGATGTATTTTTTCTTTTTTTGTTGCCCAAAAAGTTTGTTACAAGGACCATCAATTTTGTCACAATTCATTTCCTTGAGTTGTTTACAATGTTTTTATTGTGAAATATAGATTTCATACGAAGAGTTGTTATCCCTTTAAATTTTAAACATTCCGCTGCTTGTCTCATCTAGCACATTTTCATTTTGCTTGCACCCTGCAGCACAAAAACACAGTGACACAGTGAAGAGAAAAAAACTTTGGCATCATGGATGTCACGTCTGTCGGAAGCATTAAAAAAATGGCATGTGAGATGAGCAAATAACATATGTGAAATTTTAACTTAAATTTGACAAAATTTTAACAATATTCAACTTGACTTTTTTTACTAATTGACTGCAGCAGAATTTGTTTGTCAGTGAAGCACACTTTTCACAGTTTGAGAAAGAGCCATTATTAATGCCTTTGCCAGCAGAGATCATGCTACCCATGGACCGTTTACAATGATGCACATGTAGCATAGGAGGTCTTCATCAGGTGTAAGCTTATTCTATGATACTTTGCTGTCCGTTAATTTTTTTTAAACAGTTTACAAACAGTATCAGTCGCAAGAACACCGGCATATATAAAACACAGTAATTATATTTGTGGCTGAAATAATGTCATCAAGTCTGTTTTGTGGCAGGAACTACGTACTAGTTATATATTTTCCAACATGGTTACTTCGTGATCTTTCCACGTTCCCACCCATTTTGAAAAGCTTTCAGAACACAAATAAGCAAAGAAAAGCGCTTGAATAATGAAAATAAATTAACTTTATTTACAGATAAAAATCACAATAAATATGGCATCGAATCAGCGTCAGGGCACAATCATTACATATCGGTAAACGCCTGGATCGGCTTCTTTATTGTCGGCTGCTTATCTGTTGAAATGGCAAGAAAAGTTGGCTTACCAATATTTACAATAATTAAAAAATTGGCTTTCGTGGCCTATACTGCGGTCTAAAATATTTACATTGCCCGTTGTGATAACATATTGACATGGAGAGACACCGTTTGCTCTCATTGTACCGTTTACTTTTTAACGATATCAGAATGTATCTTTTTACACAATTAACATATGTACAGTTCTGATGGACAATACACCTATGTATGTATACCCCTAAAGAGCGAAAGAAAAACCTTTCTCAGTTCCGATGAATCATACATATAACGTATGCAGTGAAACAGTTCACATTTAAACAACCTTTTTTTCTTTGTCACAATCCCTTTTTCTGGATTTTCGATGTCAGCGTTCCACAATTTAATGTTTCAAGTTTGGTACACATGCTTCAAAGTAAGAACGATGAAAAGAACACTTAAATCTCAAATATTAATTTTGTTGTTCTTATAAAAAAAATAAGAACAGAGCTGAACATTTTGTGATAAAAAAAAATTACTACATTCCCTACAGAGTCGCCAGATTCATTTGCCATACATTTCCGTCTTTTTTTAGAAAAAAATCATAGGGAGTGGCCAATGATTAGGGAGCGCTCTGCCTACAGGTATCAAGTCCAGGTCAACTGTACTTCTTTTCTGACTTAAGTAGAACTCTGAAACGATGATGTAGGAAAACGCCCAGGATTTGAAGTTCCTAATTACGCTGTACACCTGTTAACTTATTCACTGGGCTAATAAAACTGCCGTGCTGCTGTAGAGAAACCACTGAAATGGAGGTCCAGTCACTACTGCCTATATCATCTATAACCCTCGAATTATATTCCACAATTTACCAGTTAAGTGTTTATAAGTATCAATTGTGAATTGTGAATTGTGGACGGAAGACAGTTGGCTTTCTAGGAAGCTTTGCCTTTGCGGATTGCTTTAAACAACTGAAAACTGAACACTTCGGCTGAAAAATCAAGAGCATTCTCTCTGCTACAAACCTAAACATCTTATGATCTAGCAAAAAATTAACTTCGTAATTTCTTTCTAAAACCTAACTATGTTGCACGAATCCTTAGATGTTTCTTGTTTAAAACTAAAACATTTTTCGAGTTTTTAGGAAAAGATTCATACTTTAAGACAACTTGTATAAAGAGTCCATAACAAGGGATTCTTGCAGGAACAACCGCAATACTGCACTAATAATTTGAAGTGCAGACAAATGAAGGAATGAATATCAATGTTAAATGAGATTAACGAGATGACGTGGTAAAACATATCACATGCCACTGTGTTTGCACATAACTGAGAAATCGTTCCGGGCATCACGTGACTGCATGACGTCACTTTGCTTTTTGTGTTAAAACAAGCGTGTCCACCTTGCGTTCCTTTCGAGCCGTCTGTTTTACAAGAGAATGATATTTCTGGTAAGAGTGCGGAAGTGACACGCAATCACATTGGATGATGTCCTTGTTTTTCATGATGCAGGGACAAGTGATGACAATACTGCAGAGAGAGACCTTGCAGAGACTGCAGTGTATGGTCATGATGCCGTAATGTAAGATAGCAATGCTGCAGTACAGTGATTTCGAAGCTACAGTAACCGCACTGGATGACAACGATCTTGTAGACACCGTTTTCATAAGCAGTAGTGTTCCTCCACCTCCCGCCTACATTCCTTACACTTGACGTAACAACACCAGTGGAACTTACACATACATCTCTCTACCACCATCTTCCGCCTCGTCTTGAACCCCCGCCCGCAACACATCAAGTCGCAGCCGTCGATGGCCTTGGAGCTGCTGTTACACAGTCGCCCCCTGGTCCCCAGGGACCCTATACTGGGGTCCGGGTCACAGAAGTCAGGGGAGGGTACCAGGTACACCAGGTCCTCGTGGGTGTGGGGCTTGAACTGCTTGTTGACAGGAACAAGCTGCCGCCTCGTACCTATTCTTTCCTGGATCGCCTCCGTCGCTCCGTCGAATTTCTCCTTGAGTCGCGCCCCGACCTCGCGGAAGGTAGGCATGGCCCGCCAGCAGGTCTTCAGTTCACAGGACCCGGAGACGCCATGACACTTGCACTCTACTTTCATGTGCTTCTCCACAGACTGAAATAAAAAGAAACTCATTATGAAATAATACGAAAACCCATTATATAAAACAATAGGAAAACTCTTTACAAAATGACACGAAAACTCAATTGCTCTAGTTGCACTTAAATGACCACGCTAGATTTTAACAAAAACTCTACATTTTGCTGAAAAAACTATTAATGTAAGAAAAATATATTATGTTGGATTTCCTTTATTTCCATTGTGCTATCAAGTGCTTTAATTCGTTATTGCATCTTTTTTATTAAACCTGATTTGAACACTCATGGTTAAAAACAGATAATTCTGACCACATAAAAACAAGAGTAAGTAACATTTCAGCATGCGTTCAAACCACAGGCAGCTACTTGTCCACAGATAAAAACTGTTATGAAAACTTTTCCGGAGGATTTTGAACATAGGCAAATGTAAAGGCAAAATTTCCCAACATCTTCTGTAAACGTTCTTTTATTTCCCGACCTTAACTCTTTCGATTTCCATCTTTTAAACACTATAAAAATCACTTGGGTGACATCACAGCACTGACAAAGGGAACAGTTGCGCGCATTTCATCGGGCGTTTTAAACATTCCGTAAACGGCTCAGAAGATGTAAAATCCAAGGGAATGAACGCAAGTTCCCTCGATTTCCAAATACTTTGTCAGGGCTGGGTGTATATTAGGTAGTGTAGTAATTACCCAGAGGTGATGACAGCGGTACACCAGGGTATGCCAACACTGCCTACACTGGATACATGTGCTGACATGTGGCACACGAGACCAGATGGAAAACACTGCTGATATCACTTATACTTCACTTGCTTTTCACTGGGAAAAAACGAGGCAATCAACCAAGGCATTTGGCGGCTTTCAGAACCAACTTGAAAGAACTCTGAAAGCGCTTTTAGGAGGTATTCCGACAATAGCTAAAGACCACCACGTTTTTATTTCCTTATCTTATCATATTTACATATCTGATCAATCCTTTTCTTATAACATCAGCCTATATTTTCAATAGCTTACTTTCATTGTCATTTTATAAAATAAGTGTAATTCTAATTATTCATCAAAACCTCGTGACATCTTTAATGACCTTTAATGATGTGTTTCTCTGTCAGAGTTTGATATGACATTCAATACATTACACTGACCAACTCCTCAGAAACGATCGAATTATCTACGTTGTTCTTCATCCATGTCGGTATTTTGTTTATTCTTCAAAATTTCGCATTCTTTAAAATTTCACTACTTTTAAATAAAGACTTACAAAATGAAATTTCAATATATAAAATGTGTACACAGCTCATCTCTGTCATTCTATTCCAAAAGCTACACGGTTCCTTTCCAGTTTGCCATATGAACTCCAGAACCACAGATTAATTTTTCATTAGATATTCACGGATATGTCACTGACTTCTTCATGAGATAGATATATTCTAGCAGTTTTTAAAATTATGTCTCTGTAACAGAACATTCCAATGTAAAGCTGTTCTACCTCACCAAAAATAAGAACGCGTTTGCGTCATGTTCATATGACACCGTGTACAGAGACAGACCCGGTAAAGAAATAAGGTAGATCTACCCAAAGAAACAGTTACAACGGTTTGAAGGCGCAAATATTGACATACAGTCTGATGTATTCTACAAACGCAAAAACTTTTCATTTGACGATGTCCCACTCAATAAAAGCACTCATTCTCTCACTTTTTTATCGCTACGACAAGAAGACCATTCTCAAAGCACTCTTTTTTTAAAGTTCTAGAACATTCAACGACGTGCCTTTACTAAAATTTCGACAGTTTTATATCAGAGTCTTAGAATAATGAAACATGGCACGCGTTTTTTAAAACTTTTTACAAAAACTCTTGCATAAGAGGCCTTGTGAACCTAATATCCACGTACAGTTATGAAATTATATCAGTTGCTGAATCAAATACTTTCACAAGGCACACATTCTTACACTTAAGAAACGAAAGAAAGTTTACCAATGCAGATATCTGTAAAAATGGCGCAAATCATACCATCCAACATAATGAACATTTAGGATACTTTTTCGGTTTTTAGAAACAAGAGCTCGAAATAATGATATCAATTGTTAAAATGAGGGGGGACATGTTTCACGTGCTCTTATCTAGCTCGATAGGACGAAGGAAGGTAGGCGCACATGAAAAGGGGCACACGTACAGAAAATACAGTTGTTAGTCAGCCTTAGCCCCCATTATAATAAGGCAGAAACGCATGACGATTCAAACAGTCATCACTCACGTACGGAGAGATGAATGTTGACTTTACCACAGTAATGTCAAAGCTGAGGTGTCGGCGTAAAAAATCACTTTGAAAAAGAGATGGGTTCTTATTAGGGGAGTCTTAATGTGTTTACTTTAATATCAGCAACTAGGTTCTAGAAAGCATTATGAGGGAGAGTGTGCGGCCTAACTTTTCCCGGATTGCCAGATGAACATTAAAAAGCATTTTGGGCTCTCCTCAAATCCTTGATTTTTCAGA